AGGCAGCTCCCATTTCTCAGGAGAGATGTGAATTCTCTATTCAACCACCTCAGCCCAAACTGTCACTAGTATAGGTACATCTGCCTGCTCAGGGCAACACTTGGATTGTTTTATGTGTGAGCAGCTGGAGGAGAGGTAAGACTGCAACATAAACATACTGTCAAAATATTGGACTGCCAGGCAGAATTGGAGATAATTTCATTCCTCATCTAAATCAAAAGGGAATTAACAGCCTGCCCTGTAATCATTTGGATCATCATCCATCAAAATTAACACCAGAGCAGTTTGATCAGGAGTACAATAAAACAGTCTTGTAGAAACATACTTTTATCTGTGACAACTTAAAGTAATAACTAAGAATTCAGTTGCACCCATAAGCCATCCACTCTCAGACTGACAACAGCCATAACACTGAAGCAAATGCAGAAGGCAGAAAAAAATAGATAAAAGAAACAGAAAAGCATCTGCACTACATTATCCACATCCCCGCTTCAACTGCCTCCAGCCAGGATCAGTGAATGGTACACCACCCTGAAAGCAGCATACGCTGTCAGGATGCCTTTGCAGAGATACAGAAAAACAAGCATTGTTCCAATTCACAAATAACAATAAAAAAGAACTTCAGGCTAGTTGCTCAAATGGATCTAATATTTTTTTATGGTTTAATAGGAGCAATCAAACACTCCTTAATCCAAACTTTATATCCAAAGAATGTGTATGCTTTATGGTGGTGGTTAGAATTCTAAGTATCTGAAAAAAACTGCAATGTAGTTCATAAAACTTTTTATAATTGCTTATGAAAGTTATAGGCTGTTCTACTGCAACATAAGAACTAAATTTTATTCAGAATACATGGGTTTGTTTCTCTGCTGTATCTCATGTAATCAACTAAGTGACATTCCTCCAAAAGGAAGGGAATCCACATAAATTCCAGAAAATTAACTGTCTATGAAAAGTTACATGGTCGAGAGAAAAGACAAATGGATTCATAGCTGAAATTCATGGTCAGGACAACCTTGATAAAGCAAAAGGCTGATTACTGCTGGGGTTGAAGACTATCTACACACTCCCTCTCCTCCTCTCTTGCCATACTCTTCGCAACCTTCAGCTTCCTACTTTGTCCACAGTCATTTATTGGAAGGGAATTAAGGGAACATTTCCCCTAATACTAATTTGGTTTGAGCTCTTTTACAAGGACTTCCTTTTTGCTGTTAATAAATACAAAACCCAGAAAACCCTATGGCTCAAATATCAAGTAGTTGAAGTGAACCAGTTGCTGAAAGACATACTGGAAGTTTGACCTATTTTCATTCTCCTTATAGCCCAAAAATTGCTTACAGATCGTTCTGGTTGCAGGATCCTCTGGATTCAAATAGGGGCTGCATTAAAAGTCAATTCAGTCTGCTTCCCTCAGTTTCAATAGCACAGACTGACATTCATGAACCTGGCAGACAGATCTCAGTTTAAATTGCTCAAAAGGTTCAATGTATATGACATGCTCTTTTTTTCCTAATGCATAATTGAGCCGTTCACTGAAACAGTTTTATCTTCAGAGTTTTTAATAAAGAGACCGGTAACATTTCAGACATACCTTCCCACTTCCAAAATAGTGCAAAGCACCAGCATAAATACAAAAAAAGTAATCTCTATTAAAAGAACAGCAAGCCTGAAGGGGAAGTGTTCACCAAAAGGCACCCAAAAATAGCTTCTGCATGGTTTTTCTCTCCTTTCAGGAGACAACTGTCTCCTTATTAGAGACATCATCATAAATTTCTTCACTTCTGCTCTGTGCTGCATCTCTGAAGGTGGCAACTTTCCAATCATTTTCTTGTTGCTTTATTTCAAGCAAGAAACTAGATTACTTTTATAAGGACACATTCGGAACCTTTCTGAAACAATTATTTCCCCACTGTCACACTTGCTGGGTTTAAATTATTTACATTGCTCAGGTTGGAAAAAAAAATAAGTAAATAGATTTTTACAATTAATAAAACCATAAATGTACACACATTTCCTCTTTTTCAATTAGTCTTTCACAGCACTTGCCCATGTAGCCTAGGCAAAGATCCCCTTTGTACTAAGTGCCAAACAAAGTTAACAAAATGGTAGATCTCTTCCCAAAGAGCATCCTACCTCACTTCCTTTTCCTACTTCTTCCCTTAATCACCAGTGTGTTCATCAGTTCTTAAGAGGTGCTTAAAGTTTTCCTGCCTCCTGACAATTGGCGCTTGCAGGCATTTTTGGATGCAACAGGGAGAAAGCAGTGCAAACCCAAGTGAAGAGCTGCCCTCATTTGCAGAGACTAAAGGCCCATGCTTTGGTGAAGCCAGTACTGAGCTCGTGCTCAGCATGTCTCAATTAGACCTACTTAATTATACCAGTAAGAAAATTCAGTTACACATGGTCTGCAAGTGAGTGGGAACATGCAGTCTTGTGTCTCGGCCATTTATATCTTCTTCCCGTTTGGAAAAGCATTGGGCTATCATGGCTCCTGGCCAGAAGCCTCCCTCAAACCACTCTCTTTTCAGTTGGATGGGAATAATAGGGAGGTGGCCAGAATCCAGCATTTCTTAAGTAGCCTTTTTATCTTGCAGTAAAAGTAAATAAGGCTAAGATTGCTGACCAGAATTCTTTAGTAATTGCTGTCTGCTGCTGAAAATTAGTATCAACATAGATCAAGATCTTTCAGATGTATCTGGGTGTACCCTATAGGTATCGGTTCTACTTTCAGACTTGTTTTGGGAACTTTATAGCAGAAAGTGAAAAAGCAATTAATTATTTATTAGTGTTTCCGTGAAAGGTTTTATACTACAAATCAGATACTTTTTGAATATAAACATATACATTTAAGGTCAGAAAAAAATAAACAGTTATGCACTGCTTTACATATATTAATAAAAATATAAAAAAGGATGGTTTCTTAGAAATTCAAGCAACTTGAAACAGTAAATAAAATCATAGCCTTCCTCATGCCTTAGTAGGTCCTGTTCAATTTTCCTCGACACCTCTAAGGAATATACCTGTTTCTTACCACTCTCTTCCAGCTCATCTCCATTCATTATGTTTCATAGGTTGTTCTCAACAGTTTGATGGTGACTTTTAATGCAAAACCAGGTCAGATGACAGGTTTATAGGAAAGCAAAAACTCCCCTCCACTCAAAATGGAAGCAAAGGGAGATGCTGACAAAAAAAAATACCTAAACAAACCCTTTTTATGGTCCCAGCTGACAAGAAAGTGATATTTTTATGAAAAGTCAAGGTATTCAGGTGCATATAACAGAGATATGACAAGCTAGATATTGGCACAAGTCAGCTGGGTTTGTGTTTTCGTAGTCCATTCAGGACCCTGAACAGAGAATCTAGAAAGATTTTCCTGCATTGTTGCAAGAAGAGATCAAGTGCTAAAATTGTGACACTTGCAGGAAACACTGTGCACTGGATGAGGTCTGAATATACAGAAATCCATGAAAAAAAAACAAACCACATTGAAGTAAAAGAAATCTCTAGCTAAAGTTTGAGAAAACTGTAAAGTGCCATGCATGAAGTATCTATGGGAAGATTGAAATGGGAGTAACATTTATCTGGAGTAACATTTATAACTATTATATTATAACTATTTATAATATTTATAACTTTATAAAATTTATAACTATTACTAATATTTATTTCAAAATTAATAGTAGTAGGCAATACAATTTTTCATATTCTAAAGGCAAATTTCATTATCAATCTCCAGGCTTATGCTGTGTTAATTTATAACAAACAAGACAGTCACATATAACCTATGAGACAATTTCCAATTATTTACTTACTATGTTAGATCTGCATTTACATGCTAATCCAAGTTTGGTAAATAAAAGTTTCACTTGTAAGCATAAAAGGTAAAATATTAATAATTTTTAACAACAAAACATTCAGATTTATTTTTAGAGAACTCAGCAGTCAAAATATCTCTAAATGCTTCAGCAGGCAGTGCAGCTTCCTCTCTAATGTTACCCATGCTTGTCACACTTCAAGAATAAAGATCATAAATATTTTAGAACATTCTGCTACCTGCTTTTTTTTTTTCCCCCCCTCAGCTTTCATAAGTGAGCGTACTTGGGTACTGCTTGTCTAATGAGGCTGGGCAAATGCTAGACTGCGGATCAGCAGAGGTTGAAGAGTTAGGGGACCCATTGTTCATTCCATTGGGATTGAATTTGCAGCAGCAGGGACAACAATGTTAGATTAGGGCCTGAAAGTAGTAGGGACCATGAACCCTGCCTTCAGTTCAGAACAATAAGCCATCACAAGCTCAGGACACCGATTTTCAGAGCTGCCCTCTGAATGTTGTGCACTTCTATTTCTGCGGGCTCAGTTTCAGACATGGTGAAATCCCATTCCCCTGGGTGCCAAGAACATTTATTTTATTCTGGGGGGTGTTTGTGTTTAAAAAAAAAATAAAACAAACCCCACACAGATCTCACCCGTAGCCTTTAATTTTAATGCTTATGATCCCCGCTTCAGTGGAAGTCAGTGGTATCTGTGGCTACGGACCAGTAACCTGGATTATAAACTGTATTAGAGACCCTGCTAAAATAATGTCTAGTAGTGTCTTAAGTCATACCAGAGATCATTGACAAGAAAGACAATGACAGACAGAAATCAAGACATCAAGTCACATCCACTATGCTGATATCAAAACTTCTTCAATACTGGTTGAGAAATGTTATTCTTGAGATAAAATTATCAGACTGAAATGGTGACTTAGAAAAAAACAAACAAACAAAAAAAAAACGTAGATTCAGATCTACCATGTAGATTAATGTCAGAAACAAAATATGCTGCTCTCCCTATATTAGAAACCGTGGTAAGCATCTGCCTGTGTAAGGCATTAGTGATCTAACTCTGGTGAAAGTAGGATGCCACACACAAGCAGTACAACCTTAGTTAGCTCTCTCTCAATATGTAGCAGTGGAAAGCTAACTTAGTAATATCTGAATAAAGACAAAGCACCATCACCTTAGTGATTCATTTAAAGGCATGTTACACCTTAGAAGAAAACAAAACTGCTAATATAACAATTATGAAGAAGACAGAAGCTGCTTCACTGGCAAGGTGCATTTACAGCCTAGGTATATGTTCAGCTGAGATCAGAGCGATCCATGTGACAAACCCACATTGTAGAACTAATTCACACTCTCATCTTTTGTCTTCCAGCACTATATTAGAACTAAAATAGAAATAAGGGTTCATTACTGTCTGCATAAAGTCCAACAGCTACCTCTAGCTTATATATAAACTTGTATTGTGCTCTGTAAGACATACCACCTACAGGAAACTGGCGACTGGCATACAACAGCAAAGAAGCAATACTCTCTGATCAGATGCAGGTTATGTTGAAGGCACAGGGAAAACATAAACACAACTTGCCTCAAGAAGCTTAATGAGATAATACTAACTTCAGCCCAGTAGTATTATTGTCTACTAAAGGGCTGATTTTGTAGACAAAACAGAGAAAATGCACTTCTCAGGGGTCACTTAACCTTCTTTTTCTTCCTCCATGTTTCTTACAATCAAACCTGCTTATATACTGCAACTTGTTTCAGTATATAGATTCAAGATTCAACCAAAGAAAACAAACCTGGATTTAAAACACCCATGTACCATGCTACAGCACTTCCCTCATCCTCTGTAAGCCATCTTACAAAGGAGCCTGAAAATGCAACTACCATAGACGTAATATAAATGACAATAAATGCTTATATGTTATCAAAAGGTTTCAGACCCAAACAAGATAAATAGATACAAAGCATTTTTAAAGGAGTAAAAACATACCAGTAAGTAACAGAAAGACACCAGTATGACCAGCACAAATTCATCCCCAGCAGAACCATCATGTCAGCATGAACTGCAGCAGAATCTGACACTGCAACTATAAATAAGATATTTTCCCTTACTCCGAGGGATATTTGTTCTTACCAATTCCTTTCTTAAATACCTGCATTTATATTGGCTCCTTCATTGGATTTACAAGTAAGATGTACAAATGAACACAGGAATTAATTACAGGGTTTGATTTGTTGGCTTTTACTTCCTTTTCTCTGAGGGAGGTACTGAAGGACAGATGAAGTGTGGGCAGTGGCCAGGCAAAAGTCTGGTAGCAGAAAAGCAGTGCTGGGAATCCAGCTCCTGAAGCAGGAACAACACCAGAGCAGGCAGAAATACCAAGCACCAGGCTGACCACCAAGCAGCCTCTAAGGCAAAGCAAACCATCAGCCAAGGCCAAAAGGCAGTCTCCTGGGAAACTAATGGTGACCAGGTGGCCCAGCCAGAGTTTAACTGGTCTTGAAGCTCTCACAGCCAGCTGTGCTAAATCAAACCTCCTCAAACAGGATTGATGTGAGCTCACAGAGATCCTCATTGGGTGTCTGGGGCAATGTAAGTTGAGTTAAACTTGTTTGAAGGCTGCTCTTGGATTTGTTTGGGCTGCATAAAACATGTAAATACTGTAAACAAAAGCAAGGTGTATATATATATATATATACATATATAAAGGGAGACTTCACTGATCTCACACACTAACTGCATTAACCAAGGTGATTGGAAAGTCTTCTACAAATGTATCTGCCCTGCTGGGTTGTCAACATCATCTTCATATGCAAATAAAGGTTTTAATTTTTTTTCTTCAAATACTTTTTGTATAATAAATGCAATTACACAAAGATTTGTACGAATCCAGAATTACTCAGAATGACGAGCACTACATTGATAATCAATGCCTTTAACTTTACCACCTGTGACATTCCCTGTAGCAGGAGACAGCAGAAAGAGGGACAGCAATCACTCAGGAGATGTTGTTTGCAGGTGGTGCATATGCAAAGAGTCTGCCATGAATCTGAAAAGACAGAAGCGTATTTCAGCCCTGGGGTGGTGAAATGTACTGTGTTTCAGCGCAGTTGATAAGGTGCTATTCAGCTGTTGCTAAACTGCCTAAACCCTGCCTTGCATGGCAATTTCTGAAGATCCCACCCTGTAGCTCAGAAACCCAGCCAGGTCTTGCAAGGGTGAGAGAGAGATCTTAAAAACTCACTAATCTGAGAAGAAAGGATGTAAAATAAAAGGATATGCACAATGATATGCTTACAGCATCCTTTTAATTAAAAATTAAATAAATATTTTCAGTAGTATGAGCAGTCTACCACCATTTTCTCCAAACTTAAGAGTGTGGAAAACATTAAGTTGTATGGATCTAAGCTCCCTTTCTGGATATGAACAATGTTGGAAATGCTTGGCATAGCCATTCACCCCTTCTTTAAATCATCTCCTTTGAAACTGCAGAGTCAAAGCTCTGCAGCACAGACTGCAGCCTGCTGGATCTGCAACTGCACTGGAGCATGGCTCCTTGCTGCCAGCTCTCTCTCTGTTCCGAGACAGACAGTAGAAGCCTTTTGGGAGAGTTTAGCAGATGTCAGCCTCCAGTTGTGCAGGATTATACTCTGAAGATGGCCTTGTTCTTGCTTTGGCTTCATGCTGGGATGGTATTCGGAGTGATGAGAGACTAGCTGACTGCATATTGGCCTCCTGTATGTCACGTTTGTCAACAGTGAACACTCCAAAAATACAGGAGTGGAGTGGTCGGTAGTCCTCTGCTGCAACAGTCACCATATAAGAGGCTCAAATTTCTGTTTAATTTACAATTAACTAGACTTTAAAAAAATAAAAGATGTCCATTTAAATTTGTGTTGGAATTTCAGTGCCCATTACAGGAAGCATCTGGGCTTTTATTTCAGGATAAGCTGCTCTTAGAGTTTAGCACAAATCTCAGTTCCCCCTCAACAACCTCAGCCAAGACATATGGGTTTTGAAGGGTTTGTTTTGGGTTTTTTTCCTATGAGAAGGGAGGGGAGCACCCCAAAAAACTCCTCATGTAAATGACAACTTCAAAGCCAGGAGGTCAGGAGGCTGGCTGGTCATCCATGTAATTGTGTTATGGTCAGGGCCCACTGCTAATGATCCCTTTGTATGCACTAAGGGCACTTCTAGATGCTGAGATAAATTCATCCCTGGTGGAAAGCACTAATTTCAATAGTGTTATACTAGGCATGAATTTGAGCCACTGTGTCCTTTTAAAATGAACCTACTGGGATTAGTTACAGGAATGCAGTTAAACAGTTAGAAGGATCAAGGCCACTGTTGGTTCACAATTACAACTGAGAAAAAACAAGTTTATTAACCAGATGCCAATCAAACATATGAAAATGAATAGCAATTATAAGTACTAGCTATTTGTAACAGCACACCCATACTTGGACCTCAGATATCTTAAACAATCTGGAAGCTCAGCATAATGACTACTCTAAAAGGGGGAAAAAAACCCATGTTGATGCTAGTTGTTCAGAGACAGTAAGGTTTTAAGCAGCTGGTAAAAGGTGTCAGTCTCAGGCAAAATATAGATCTCCCGGCTGTTGAATAATTAATGAAAAACTCCATCTCCATTATAGCCATTGTAACTGTGTGACTGAATAGTCTCCATTTAATCAGGCCTCATGCATATGAGCTCAAGTCACCTCTTACAATCAGATTTTTTTTCCAGGGCTGATTTCTGTTGTGCTCTTTCCCTCTCCTTATCCCTTTTCACAGTACAAGTTCTGTTGTGCCTAATCAAGCAGAGCTTCCAGTGAAAGCAATCAAAGCAGTTTGATTTAGCAGTGCAGCCTTTATTAGAGAAATCCTGACCCTAATAAAGTCAGTTGGAGCCTTGACATTGACTTCAGCCATGCATCGTATCTTTCCTCTGGTTTATACCAAAGCAAATGGGAGTTTTCTCAGAAAAAGAATTATTTTTGGTATTGCAAGATATTAATTGGAAATGTTCAAATATGCCTGAACTAAAAAAAAAAATTCATCATACAACCAGCTCTAATTTCAGGAATATTCTAACATGTAGATTTTCTTACCATACCAACTGCCATGAACTCCTGCCATTATGTCCTAGCATGAATTTCATAACAGAAGGAGCTGGGAGCCTCAGAAGCCAGAAAAAAAATAGGAAAGTAAGGTAAAAAAAGGCTTTAAAAAAAATGATAAGGAAATGGAGGTGGTCAGAGATAGGCACAAGACGTTTTCCCTAACTTACCACAAGCTGAAAGACACTGATGTAGATAATGATGGGGCAGGTCATGAAAGGACATTTGAAACCAGCAGGTCAAAGCCTAGCTGCAGCGCAAGTGGGAGCAGAGCCCCGAGCAGAGTACCAGAGGGCAGTTAGACAGGATCCCTGCCTTACCTCTGAGAAGAAAGCTGCTCCTTCATCCTCTCTCTTAACGAATGCACTTAGCTATGCTATTTGTCACAAAGTACTGAGTTTTGTCCAGCCCCAGTGCTAATAGAAACTCAGAGCAGTTGTCAAATTCTCCAAGTACTGAGAGATTTAAGACCCAAAAGTTCCCTTTATCGCCACAGGCAGGGAAGGCAAACACACGGAGCAGAGCAGGGAGCTGCCAGCTAGACAAAGCCTCTCTAATACGTTTAGCCTGTGACTCTCAGTCTCCATCACAGCCACAGCTTGCATCCCCATCAGCTACAGCCCTTGGGATCTCAGTAAATGTAGATGTTTTCTGGGAAAAGATAATATTGATGATGGCGGAAGACTGAGTGGTGAGGACTGTGAGTGGTGAGGACTGCACTTATTTCTTACTACAGCTGAAGTCACAACTAAGGGATTTCTAATGCAAACTTACTGCTTTTTTTAAAACAGGGTGTTGCTGCTTTTCATCACCAGTGAGGGATGGCTCTGGTAGCCTAAGGGAATGCATCATTTACAGTGTCAGATCAATGCTAAAACAGAAATGAAAGCAACAGCCATTGTCATTTACTTCTTGTGACTTTGCTGGACTACATGAACTTAGCAGCGTAGCTCAGGATACTACATTAAGTGTATGCTCGTATGCTCTTGTTACATCAAAGGTTTGTACAAGAGAAATAGAAGTTAAATTCACTTGGGTTCATGAAGGGTGGGCAGATGGACCCCAGACCTCTCTCCTTTCTGCTGCCTTTTAGCTCTGTGGTGAGACTCCGAAGTCATGGGGCACCACTCCTTTTCGCTGAAGCTCACGAGCAGAACCACACAGACCACTGTTTTATGGCAGTAAACACTAGTGGGTGAGATGAAGCTTCCATGTCCCCTCTTACACTCACCTTAGCTTCTACAACAAATGACAAAAAAATGATTTCACATCAGTGGGTATTTCATTCAGTCCACACATGCAAATCCTTTTCACCATGGCAGAAATGTAACATGGAAATAAGCATTATTAAGCACACCACATTTTTAGTATGGCTGTCAAAGTACTGTAAGAGATCTTCCTATTAGCTGCTGAGAACCAGATCCAGCCTGAAATTAAATCTTCTCTTGGAGATAGTATGCTAGCAGCTTTCTTTGCATAATACTCACAGCTTGCCTTCCAATGTGTGCTGCATAAATAGCTCAGGGAAAAGAAACAAACTCAGAGTCACACTTGTAAATGATTTGATCATGCTATTCAGTGTTTGCCAAATTCTCTCATCTTTTCCCAAGAAAAAAAAAAAAGGTTTCCTGATGCCCTACAATTACATCAAATTCTTTCCAGAGAAATCCTGAAGCTGACAATCTGCATTCCCTTGCAAGGCACAGCCAGGCAAAGTGAAGACATGTAACTTTGACCAATGCCAACACAAAACACATGGCTGTATCAGTCTCAGGGAAATGCTGGGGTATTTCTTGCAGGTTGACTCACTTTAACTTTTTAAGAAGGAAAAGCCTTTCATGTAATGTTGCTGAAGTTTACAGAAGTAAGACACATTATTTAAAGACAGTGTTTCTAAGCTTAAGGGTTTTTTTGGTGTTTTGTCTGCTTCCCCTCATCTGGTGGCTCCAACACCATTCCTGGGATGGACATGGCCAGCCAGGCCCTAC